TATATAAGGAGAAGTCACAAAACCCTAGGTCAGTGCACGGAAAACTTTTAGAGCTATCAATGATAGCAAACAGCCAGCTGTAGCATACATACCACAAGTCCACCATCGCTGGCCTCAGCAGTCAGCTGCGGTTGGCAGCTCAACAGTGTCAAATTCTAAAGTTAGCATCTCTAATTCTTTCTCCTATGTCACAAGTTGCCACTGCAATTTCAAGTATCATGCAGTTATATTCAGAAGCTAGAAGCAAGAAAAGCATAAAAGAGACAAACCTTCCATGCTTTCTGTGCCTTTTTGAATTTTTTTTATAAAAACCTCTCGGCAATTTTCACCTAGCATGGTGCACACCAAAAGTAGGTTATATTTCTACCCTGATGCTTAAAAGCAGGAGAGGTCAGAACCTTCCCCATGAGATTATAAATGTCTGAATTTTCCACGTGGCTTCTGTGACCACTTTATATTGTCAATTCTGTCCCTCTCATTATATCTTAAAATGTAATTAGGAGGAGTTTGTGTGATCTCTAAAGAGTTTACTTGTGCTTAAACTTGGCAAAGATAGGATTTCTATCATTAATTACTGTTTGATGCCAGCATCTACTTTTTGAGGTAAGGTTTAAGTTCACTAAAAATTAACTGGAATATTTTGATCTCCTATCACTTTTCCTTCAAGGAAACAGCACTCCCATTTAATATATTACCCCCAAATTTTGTGATACAGGATTTTAAAACTAAAACAACACCAACAAAAAACTAATGGGAATTTTTGTGCACAAAATTTGTACATTCACTTAGCTACCAAAAGCAATTATCTGCTCAAGGTTTATAAATGTTTTAGCCTCATGTTTTAGGGATGTACTAATTTGTATTAACCAGGCCCAAGACTAAACTCTTACATCAATAGTCCAGCAACATAATAATATTGTTTAATCCCCCCCACACACATGTACTAGGTAGGTAGAGAGAGAGAGAGAGAGAGAGAGAGAGAGAGAGAGAGAGAGAGAGAGGCAGAGGCGTACAGAAACAGTAAGTTTGCAAAGAAGGCTGACACCAAGAGGTAAAATGGCCCACTTAAAGTCACACAACTGCAGCACAGGCACTCAGTGAAGAGTCGGTTTACTTGATTTCTAAAGCTCTTAATCATTGCACTGCACCACTTTCTCCTGCATGAATTTATTATTCTTTTGGGAGCAAATAAAGGCTTCAAATACTGTTTAGGGTCACTATTTTCAAGCTTTGACAAAGCCTCACGTAATCCTTCTGAGACCAGGAGAGAGACAAACAATAGATAGTTAGGATAGTGACCTGAGTAAACTGAGATAAGCCGCAGGAAAATTGGGAAGGAAAAGAGGCTTTCTGGAGTTGGCTGTGGAAATCAGAGTGCAGGAGAAATCTGTTCCGAAGTCAGAAGCCTAGCTCAAAAAAGGAATTCTATCCTTTGGGTTCAAGGGAAGCCTGTTCTCCTAATGTCAGAGGCAGAGACCTCAAAACAGCCACCATGTGCTTTTCTGTGTTTCATTCTCACATACTCACGTACCCACAATAGCACACTAAAGTCTACATAGAAACCCCTGAAATTGGGTATCTCCCCTCATAAGCCGCCTCCCTTGGAGCCCTATTCAGCTAGCACAACCTTTTCTTTTTTTCTCTTCAATAAACTACTCTCAATGCATTCTGTACTGCTTTGTCCATCAGCTTAGTTCATCATTCGCAGGACAAGAGCCCAGAGGAAAAACTGGTAGCACTTCCAGAGATTTTCTTGCATGGAATATAAACAGGTTAACTTGGTAAGCAATATAGAATACTTTAGAGGTTAGCTGGTGCCTTGTTCTAACTCTAAACTGTTCCTTCTTCTTTCTTCATCTAATTAAAAGGTCTTCTGGTGGGAGGTAGATAGTCAAACCTGGCTCCAGGGTAGGAGCCTGGGGGGGTGCTATCTTCATATCTTTATACCATTTACAAATAAACTATCAGGACCTTTAGTGATAGTCAAGCAGATAAGTTCCATGCAGATACAGTTAATGATCCTTAAACTGTCCTAATTCAGACTTCAAAGTGTGAACTTCTGGCCATTCTCATGTCTGTTAAGAGCAAATGTTTGAGATTTTGCTGACATGTGTCTATGTATAGTATTGGTATGAGTAATAGTTTCCTACGGATGCTGCCTTTAATGACTACAACTGGGTAGCTTAGAACAAAAGAAAGGTATTCTCCCACAGTACTAGAGAATAGAAGTCCAGCACCAGTATCATTAGGCCAAAATTAAGATGGCAACAGAGCTGCACTCTTTCCTAAGGCTCTAGGGGAAAATATGTTCCTTGTCACTTTCAGCTTCTGGTAGCTACAACATCCAAAGACTATAGTCATATTACTCCAGTCTCTGTGCCCATTTTCACATTATCATCTATAAATGTCTGTGTTCATATCTCGCTCTGCCTCTTTTTATATGGATATATACATAATTATGTATTATGTATATATAATTAGGGCACAAAAGAAAAATCTATTTTTATGTGCAAAGAATTTTTTACTATGTAAAGTCACATTTATAGGCTCTAGAAATTAGGACCAGATATATTTTGGAACCATTATTTATCCTGCTGCAGTATTTTGTACCTGTAACTCAACTAACCAAACAGCCATGGAGACAGTTAACCTTAACCGTGTCAAATTAATTGATGTAGAAAATCCCTAGGGATTAGTAAAGCACATTTCTGGTTGTGTCTGAGTCATTCATAGAAGTGTGGCTTTGTGTATGATTTATGATCTCTGGCTGCTTCTTCTCTGGCGCTTTTCCCCTGTTTCCCAGCTACGACAAACTAAGTAGCTTTGCTCTGCCTACGTTTGCACCATGCTGCTCTGTTATGGTTTGTGTCTAGATGCTCCTCAAAGCCCCATGCAGTCATGGGGGGAGGGGTGCTTTTCCAAGGTGGGCTCAGAGTTTGTGGTTGATTTATGGCCCAATGCTGGATTATGGGTGTGAGTCCTACACTCATCATGGGGTTGATAGCCTGCATTCAATATAAGGGCAGGAAGGAGGCTGCTGACCTGCTCCTCCCTTTTTACTGTTATTGTTTTTACTGTCTTCTGCTGCCATGAACTGTCGTTCCTCTGCTACAGCCCCCTGCCTTGGAGTTAGCTGATTATAACTGAAACCTCTACAAACTGTGAGCTAAATAAACATTTCCCCCTTTAACTTTGAGAATAGGGTATTTTGTCTCAGCAATAAGAGAAAAGTAACTAAGACAGGCTCCTACCCTGAAACCAGGCAAACATGGACTGAATCATATGAACCTTGAACCAAATTGAACCTTATCTGTTTTCAATTACAGGTGTCAGTTATTATATTCCAGCAACAGGAAAAGTGACCAATACTGAACATTAGTATTAGGAGTTGGGGTTGTTTTATGGCTGTTCCTGTGGTAAAGAAATCTTAAGAACTGTTTTGTCAGAGAAGTTTAGAAGGCTTTTGAGATCTTGGCATAGAGAAACCCTGGACAAAATTTGATAGGTAATTACAGTCAGAGCTCTGAAAACAGAATGGTGTTAGGAACACAGATAATAGAGGCTGTGCTCAGGAGTTTTCAGCTAGGAACAAACACACCACTTGAAGTTGGAATAAAGGCCAAAGATATTATATTCTGGCAGAAAATTTGTCTATGTTTTTTCCATATCCTGAGATTTTTCAGGAAACTTAGATTAAGGGAAATGGACTAAATATTTAATAGATGATGTTCTTTTTTTCCTTTTTTCTGTTTTTCTTTTAAAGAGAATAAAACAAAACAAAACATTGAAGTGAAGCAAAACAACACAATGGGAACGATATTGGATTTCAAAACAAGACAGTAGGAAATCAGCCACAGTCACTAATGCACAGTGCTGTCCTTTAAATACATAGTCAAACAGCATAAGCACTAAGTTGTTTCTTTATTTCAGTTGCCATCTCAAAAATTTCAGTTATGTGGTTCCTAATTTCCTTTATGATTATATCTCCTGGACTTGTTCTGGGTAAGATATGAGCACGCAAAATTAATTAAACACTCAATTAAACAATATAAGCATTAAGTTGTTTCTTTACTTCAGTTGCTATCATTTCAGAAATTTCAAGTGTGTGACTTCTAGTTTATTTTGCGTCTGTGTCTCCTGGACTTGTTCTAAGAGGGCTGAAGGTCTGAGGTCCGAGAATGCACCCTGCTTCTCTATCTTGAGATTTTCCTGTATGTTTCCTGCATTGGCTGCTTGTCCCATGGTGCAGGGGTTAGGTACCTGGGTTACTCTAATGTGAGATTCCTGGGGTGGCAAAGAGAGGAGCAGGGTGGCTACTCATCCATGTTCCCCCAATGGCTGCAGAATCTAGGAAGCTTAACTTCCTCTCCTCTGGGCCTGCAGCAGTGGGTTTACTAGGGGGTGCAGCCTCTTCTCCAGGCCTGCACTGGTGGATTAACAGGATGCGTAACCTCCCTTTCTCAGGACCTTCAGCTATGGGCTCACTAGGGAGTGTGGCTTCTTCCCTGATAGTCCTCAGTGGTAGGTGTTAGGTCTGAGAGAAGGGGAAGGAAAAGGGGAGGAGGGGGAAGAAGAAGTCCGTGGAAGGAGTGGAGTGGACGGCCGGGAAAGTAGTGGGCGGCGATGGCTTTATTTCGGGAATGCGGGGAGAGACCCTCCCCCCTGCCCCGGGGCGCAGCATCTCCGCTGCACCCAGGGGCCGGTGGTCTCTCCAGGAACACAGGGAGAGGAGACTGGCGCACTGGCCGCTGGAATCTGGCGATCTCTCTCTCGGACACGCAGCCTGGGGGAATATAAATAGCCTAAGCTTAGGGCAGTGCCCTAAGGCCGTTAGAGATGCACCGTATATCATTGGCGCCAGAGTTACAGGGATGGGGGTGTAGGGTTACAGGCAAGTCTATAGGGGTGGGGGAGGCAGGAGTTTTCTAACTTGGCTGCAGCTTTTCCTGGTTAAAGGGTCCGATCTGGGCCAGCAACTCTTTCAGTAGACTCATTGGGCAAGTTGTTTCTTTCTAATGAATTGACCATTACATTTCTAAAGTTCTGAAATAGCCAACAGACCATAGAAAGATTCTACTTTAGGCTACTGCTTAAAACCAGCAGCTGCAGACAACTGCTGGCCTTGATTCAAGGCCAGTGGCTGATGATGTTTCAAAGTAGCCCCAATGTTCATGCTGTGACATTGGTAAGGACAGAAGCTTTTAGCCAGATTTTTAGTAAGAATTGGGGCAAAGAAGAAAGAAGAACATTTTGAAAAACATAATTTTGGCAGAAAATTAGTGATGTGTACAGAGAAGACCAAAGAGAAATGGTTGTTGAAGAGATTAACACCATTAGAAAGAAACCAACTACTTTGTACAGGGAACAAAAATAAAGAAAGATCACCACCAAGATCGACAGGGTGCAGTGATGTGTGCCTGTATTCTTAGCACTTGGGAATCTGAGGCAGGAAGATTGCTTTGAGTTTGAGGCCAGCCTAAACTACATAGAGTATACATAGTGAGAACCTGTCTCAAAAAACTGGAAAAAAAAAAAAAAAACTTAGAAATCAGTAGGATCCTATGCATGAAGCTTAAGTTTGCAAAGAATAAAACTTTCACTGCAGAAGAGAAACACTTATCCCAGAAGAGTCCTTTAAGGAATTGATTCCCTAGATTTCATTTCTCTATGATCAGCCATCCAAGCACTCAGTGGCCTCTGCAAACACGATGGGAGGAGGGGACAGCCCTCTACTCAAACAGACAGCCAACCTAGGCATTGTCCAAATGATGCTGGTTTTACAGGAATGCAGAATGTAAGTGAGGGAGGGTCAGGAAGGCTTCTAGATTTCAAAAGACACCCGAGGAAGTTAGGCAAAGTAGAGAGATGGGGCATAATGTACAGGAATAAAGCAAAAGGTTCAGTGGAGACTACAAAAAGTTGAAGATTACAGGAATACGGAATGTCTAACAAGAAAAGCGATAGCCTGAAAGAGACATTAAACCACAAGAGAGGCTATATGACTTGCAATGGGCAATGCAATAGGATTGGGTCTGCCCAAGTCTTCTGGAATTAACATTTTGCCATGACCTGCAAAGAAGCCAATCACGGAGCTTCCTGACTTAGTATTCGCTTTGCTGGGTTTCAGACTCATATTGATCTGCTTCTTTTTCATTGTACTCTTTCTCTCTTTTGAAACAGGAATGTTTACCTTATGGCATAGTACCTTGGGATTATGTAACTTGCTTTTTTATATTTTTTATAGGAGTCCACAGCTAGAAATGAGTCTCAGAGGATACTTTGAGTCAGTTTTTATTTTTTTTGTTTTGGTGCCAGGAATTGAAGTCACGACCTCACATTTGCCAAGCAGACACTTAGGCCACTGAGCTAAACCTCCAGCCTAGAGTTAGCTTTTTTTTTTTTTTCCTTAAGCAATCCTGGAATTATTTAAAGTTTGAGAAGGGATCATAGTGTTTTTGTTTATATGTAGAACAGTTGTGTCATGTTGGGTGGAAGTATTAAATTCTATTGTGTTTGCTTGTAGATTAAGTTTTGGTTTATGATGTGTTTGAGTGTCAAGTTAACAAGGTCTAAGATGTGCAGTTAGTCTTAATAGCACCAATTTGATTGACTTACTAGTTCTCAAGGGATTAGTAGAGCACTTTTCTGGGAATACCTTCGTGGGTCATGGAGCTATGACTTGGGTGCTATATATGATCCTGGTCCCCTTCCTCTCTGGCACTGTTCCCCTATACTGCTTCCTGGCCACCATGAAATAAGCAATCTTGTTCTCCCATCCCTTTCTACCACAATGTTTCTGCCTTGATGCCAGTTGACCATGGACTGAATTCCCTAAACAATGAGTTGAATTAAACCTTGAGTACTTTAAATTGTGTGTGCTTAGTGACTGGAAAATTGACTAACGCAGTCATTGAAACAAATGTTATAGTTTTCTCCAATTACTAATGAAAATGCTTAAACAGAAGTTATACCATTTAAAATCAGATAGCTGTAAGAGGCAGTGTCTGAATTTGAACCTAGCATTTTTGTGATCTTTAAAACTACCTGTTACTGGAAATAAATGAAAAACTAATTAATACAGAAAAATTCTGTAGAAAATGTGCCAAAATGGAAGTACAACCAAAATATTTTCCTCATTAAAAACAGTCTTTGTAAGTTATGGAATTTCCCTCATTCTTGGCAGGATTGCTTGCTCCATCACGTACTTTATCATCTTATACATACACAGTCACTGTTAAGTGCAAAGCTTTTAGAGTAAAAAAGAGAAAAGTGTCCTTTGTAAACTGTATGCAGCTGTGGTATTTGCTGAACTAATGGACTTTTAACCAATTCATCAAAAGAACACCATATTTGAATTGGCAACAAAGGGGTAAAAAAATCTTCCTAGGTATTTCTCATCACCTTTTATTTATAAACACAGACCCCTCCAGACAGCTTGATAGATTCCTGCATTATAATACTTAAAAGTTTCTTTGACAACCACTAAATCCCAGCAAAACATTTTCTAAACCAAGCCTCCTCTAGCATCAAACTTGTCAAATCCTAACCAGACCATCCATATAGGTTAGCTAAAGAGCCTTCAAGGATCTTCCCTTTGAAATGCTGGACCTGCTGTGCATATCTGCTTCTTGATTAGGACAGGCTGTTTTAATTAAACAGCCCTTTGATGTTTGCATGTTTTGAGGAGCTCATCCTGACAGCTCTGTATTTACATCTTTTTGTTGTTCTGCATTATTAATGCCAATTCATTATCTATTCTTCTTCTCAAAATTTATTCTCTACTTTTTCCAGCTTCAACTAAGTGATTCTCATAGTTCTTTATATAATCAATTCATAGGGCTGGATCACTTGGCTTCAAGGTCACCTAGTCCTTTTGTATGAATTTCATTCTCTGTTAAATCACATTAGCACAGAAGCTCATATGCATCTCACTATACAGATTTAACCTCTCCCTCCAGAGGTGGAAGACCACTGTTATTTTAAAAATATAGCAAAGATGAATTAAATTATAATACTATGTCAAATAGGAAAAGCAATTAGGAAATATATGTTTGTAGCTGGAATGAGACAGTCCCACGTTAACTTCTGGCAAGCATATAAACTAATCTAATATGTGTATAAAGCAATTTCATATCATGTATCAAGAATTTTTAAATTATTCATTATATTTAATTATGAATCGTATTACATAAGTCAGGGTAGCCTACGGCTCTATTTGATTGATTCAAATATGCAGATTGGCTTAGCCACAATAGAAGTGTATGTCTTATGCATGTATATAAACAACCTTGGCTGAGTGAATTTCTCTGACACACTTTTAAGGAGGCTAGATGGAGACTAGATTTGTTTCCTCTAAAGCTGTGCTATTCCCTATGGTGCCCTCTTCATGTGCATCTGGTGAACAGAAAGGAAAGAGGGCACAGAAAAAGATACAGGCACTTAAAGACTTAATTCAGGCATAACACCACTGTCCCCCTCACATTCCCCAAGTGCAAACCTAATTGTAGGAGAGCGTGGGTATGAAATCTATGTCTTAAACAAGAAGAAATGACCTTGTCTTGATGAACAATCTGCCATATATAAATTTCAAAAATAATAACCCTAAGTATTATATTGAAAATTTGCAATGGAGGTCATATAGGAACAATACTAAGAGCACATTAACTTCAGAGACAGACAGACAGAATTGGGTTTGAATACTGTCTCTGGCCCTCATGAACTAGGACTCTTTGTGAATTATATATTGTTTCATCTTACTGTACAGTTAATTGTCTCTCAAGGATTTTAGTGAAGATTAGATGAGTTGTTTAAAAATTTACTAAAGTATTTCTCATATACCATTTAAGACTAATATCACTTATATTTTAATTTTTAAATACAAATATACCTATTACAATTATTCCGGTTGAACCAGAATAATTAAATTATATCACTAAGCTGATCAGGTACATATGATCAGTAAAGTAAATAAAATATACTGTAACTATTTAAAATTGATCACTGATACCTACATAATGTGATAGGAAAGTGTTTATAAACTATGAATGTGAACAGCAAGAGATATTTGTAAAGAATATAAATTTAACCAGATTAATACAAAAATTTAACTACCATTATAAATAACTTTTTTTGACTTTCTATATTTTTCAAAATTTTAGTGACTGCTTTACTGTCTTTTTGCATGTTTTTAAGTTCTGTTATCTTAAAATTCATCTTAAGTAGCAAAACCTTTCATATTTAGTTGAAATTCCTGATATTTCCCCTTCAGCCCCAAGAGGACAATTTCTTGATTTTTTTGTATATCCTTCTCATTTAGATATTTTGCTATAGTTAGAGAAGTATGTTTACATAGCAATATGACTATTTAGAACTTCTAAAATCACATAAATGATATCTATCTTATATTTTTCCATGAAGTATTATATATGCAATATACATCCATATTTTTAATATTGTTTAATAGTTTCAGTCTATTCCATTAAATGAATATAAAATATTGCACTCATTTATTTAGCATAAATGGATATGAAGGATTTTCAAATATTTTCCTATTCCAAAGGCTGCAATGAACATTGTTTATATGTTTCCTAGCAAACTGTATAATAGATTTCCGAGGGCTTATTATTCAGAGTGAAATTTCTGGGTGGTAGGATGTGATAATACTAATGTTTATTAAATAGCATCAAATTTTTCTTTTATTGAGTTCATAATTCCACTAAGCATATCGGCAATCCAAGTTTACATATCTGTCTTAGTTACTTTCTCATTATTGGTACAAAATACCAGACACACACAATCAACAGAAGGAGATGTTTATTTTAGATCACAGTTTATAGTGGTTTCATTCCATAGTCTGTAGCACAACAGACAAGATGGCAAAGGAGAAATATTCCAGAGCATGGCAAGTAGGAAGGAGCCAGGGATTTAGAGTATAGTGAGCCATCAGGATTCACCTCCTACATCCAGCTGTAAACCCATTAGTAGTCCAGAATCCTACTCATGATCCAATCATGTCCTAACAGCCCCACCTATGAGCGTGTGAGGGCTATAACAATATCTTTTGCCAATTCTTTTGTACTTTGTTAATTTTGGGGGTCAATTTCTAGTTTTCAAGGATATCTTTCTGGTTTTAATTTT